CTAAAATGTTTTTTTTTTCTTTATTGATACTAGAGAGAGAGGAAAGGAGAGGAAGAGAAAGATAGAAACATTGATGAGAGAGAACATCAATCAGCCGCCTCCCGCATGCACCTGCACTGGAGATCAGGCCCATAACCTGGGCATGTGCCCTGACTGGGAATTGAACCAGAGACCTCTTGGGGCATCAGTTAATGCTCAATCACTGAGCCACAATGGCCGGGCACCCTTTCTTTCTTAAAGGCCAGTGGCTCCACCTTAATCAGAACAAAACCCAGAGTTGACCTTTTTTCATCTGGCCCCTCCTAACACTCTAACCTCATTACCTAACAAGGTGCTTCCGATGCACACTGGCATCCAGCCTGCTTCCTAAACATGCCGAGCTTGTTCATACCTTGGCTTGGGATCCTTCTTGAGGTTTTTCTCTGCCTAGAGTGCTCAGCTCCTGGATCTCCCCACTGCTGGCTTCTTCTTGCTAGTTGAGTATCAGATTAAAATTACTTCTTCAGAAACCCTTTCCTGCCCTCCCCACCCTAGGCATTCTGCATCACATTTCCCCCAAATATTTTCTTACTAACACCTAACTCTAGAGTGTATAAACTCTTCTCAAACGTAAGCTCGGTAAGAACCAGGATCATGTCTGTCAGGTTCTCTGCTTTATCTCCAGTGTCTATCACTGCCTCTCATATCATTAGTATCCAATAAGAATGTGAATGAATGCACGAGTGAATGAATGACATAGTTTAAACATATGTATACTAAGTTGTGACAAGCCAGGCATAGTCCAGAGCAGGGTATTTGGGAGGATGTTGGTGCCAGTTGGGGTGTCACTAAAGCATTAGTATTGTTTGTATGCATGAAAATTGTGGATGGAAAATTGGGTAGAGAGGACACTATAGTTGAGGGCGTGCTTCTAGCTATGTTAGGTGTAAAAGTGTAGCATATATTCTATATTAATTCTCCTTCCTGCTTTTGTAAACATTTTTATTGATTTCAGAGACAGAAAGGGAGGGGATAGAGAAACATCAGTGAGACAGAAATATCAAGCCATTGGCTGCCACCTGCATGCTGATGCTCCTTACTGGGAATTTAGCCTGCAACCCGAGCATGTACCCTGACTAGGAATATAACCAGTGACCTCCTAGTGCATGGGACAATGCTCAACCAACTGAGCCACACCGGCCAGGCTCTCCTTCCTTCTTAAGAAGAGAATCCCAAATTTATTTGGGACAGTGATGTTCCCAGTAACATTCTTCATTCGTAGCCTCCTTGGCAGCTAGGTATGGGTACATGAACAGCTTCTGCCCAATTAGGTGATTGCAGAAGTGTTGTGTGGCAGTTCCAGGAAAGCAGGCAAAAGAGAGCTGCATTTCTCAGACCAAGGTGTTTCTCATACCATGGCACATGAACTGAATTTTGTCCCACACAAATTCATGTTGAAGCTCTAACCTGCAGTACTTCAGAATGTGACTGTTTGCAGAAAGGGCCTTTAAAGAGGTGATTAAGTTAAAAGGAGGCCATTGGAGTGGACCCTATTCACCTCTGATTAGTGTCCTTATAAGAGGAGTCTAGGATACACTGACAGATACAGGAGTGCCTATATACAGAGGGATGACCATGTGAAGAAGGCATAAGAAGGCGGCCATCTGCAAGCCAAGGAGAGGCCTGAGAAGGAAAAAAAAAACTGCTAAACACCTGGATCTGGGACTTCCAGGCTCCAGAACAATGAGAATTAAATGTCTGTTATGTAAGCCACTCAGTCTGTGCTATCTTGTCATGGTAGACCCAGAAAATTAATACAGTTTCCATGATGGGTTTCAATTTTGGCAGCTAATTGGAATCAACTGAGGAATGTTAAGTATACTGATGATTGGACCCACTCCTAAAGATCTGGTTGAATTGGTTGAGTCTGGACATTAGAAGAGACTCTAATGGATGTCTTGTGTTGAAACTAACAGGTCTAGAATCGTTTCCTGGATCCTATGGAGCTAGATGGGAATGATTAATCTGCCATCACTTAGAAGATATTTCCCCCACATCTTGCTCCTTGCACTGTTTTTCCCACAGCACACATCTCCCTTCTTTTTCTTCTCTACCGAGGTCCCCACAGATGGAACCAGAGATTCCCCCACCTGTTAGTCCTGTGCCACGTCTGGGATCCATCCTAATTCAAGATGCATTAAGTTGCTTCAGCCCCACTTCTGCCCTCCCAGCTAAGAAAAGTGAGTCTCAATAGTCTCACATTCTCTTACTCTGCTTGTTAGCCTGAGTGAACACAGATCCCCAGAGCTCCACCAGGAACTTAATCCAATTAGAGCATGGGCAGTGACATGACCTGACAATTAACTTTTGGTGACTAGGCACTTGACAATATATTCAACATATTTAGCCATCACAGAAATTTAAATTAAAAACACAAAGAAACATTAAAAGCACCTATCAAAATGGCTAAAAATTATGGACATCACCAAATGCAGGCAAAACTACAGATAGACAGAGTCACTTATACATTGTTAATGTGAATGTTAAATGGTACAGGCACTCTGCAAAGCAATTTGGAAGTTTCTTTCAAAACTAAACATGCAGCTACCATATTATACACCAATCGCACAAAGGCAGTTTACCTAGAGAAATGAAAATTTGTGTTCACACAAAAACCTGTACATGAATGTTCCTAACAGTTTTATTCATAATACTTAAAAAGTGAAATCAGCCCAGATAGCCTTCAACAGGTGAATAAACAAGCCAGGGTACATACATACCATGGCACCCTACTCAGCAATAAAACAGAAGAGACTTTACTTTATACATTTAACTTGGATGGCTCTCAGGGGAGTTATGCTGAGTGAAAGAAATCCATTCCAGAAGTTTACACACTAGAGGATTCCATTTATACAAGATTTTTAAAATTATAAGAGTGTTTGGCCCTGGCTGGTTTGGCTCAGCAGTTGGAGCATTGGCCTGCAGACCAGAAAGTCCTGGGTTTGTTTCCCACTAGGGGCACATGCCAAAAAAAAAAAGAGTGTTTGAAAGAGGTTAGGGATGTGGAACCCAGGAGAAGCTGGGCTCTGGTATAAAGACTAGCAATGTTGTGACGAGAGAACAGTTTTGTATCCCGCTTTCAGTGACAGTTACAGAATCTACTTCATGGTAACAGTGTACAGAAACGAGTGCATGTAAATCTGGTGAAATCTCAGTAAGCTCTGTGGACTGTACCAAGAGCTGTTTCCTGGTTTGATATCATTCTCTAGTAATGCAATGTGTTATCATTGGGAAGAGGTGAGTGGAGGGTATACATGACCTGCATGCACAATTTTTGAAACTTCTGATAAATCAATAAATATTTCAGAATTTAAAAGTTTAAAAAATAACACCTGATTGGTGGGAAAAATTAGAGTCAGGTACACAACACTCAAAAACGTTGTCAGTGACACTTTAGAAACAAGTCAAGAAGCTAATAAAAAGGTTAGCATGGTTTTAGACCAGTGAAATTATTACAGAATTTGTAAATACTACAATAAATATGGTACTCTACTTGATAAAGATGCTAAGTTTGTTTATAGAAGTGAGTGTCACAGCTTGTGAGTTACTCTGACATGGTGGCTAGAAGGCTATCAGGGTACAGACAGCAAAGCTTGTGTTTTAAGGTAGTCCAGAAATGGAGTCCCTTCTCTATAATTTTCAAGCACTGTGAAGGCCTGATATAAATGCTAGAGGCTGCCATGCATGAAGGGGAACACTGGACCTTCTGGTCCTGGCCCCATTGGCTTATGGTTGGGACAGGGAAAGAGCAATCCAAGACACAAAACATACAATGTGCAATGTAACTCTTTAATATGAAAACAAACCAGTATCATGAGGGGGAACAGTACAGAACAAATTGCAGGCTTCAAGATGAACTTTGGCTTCCTGGCCAGTCAGGTTCCAACCTTAATCATGGATGTGGCCTCAGGTTGGAAGAACAATGTAACAAATGCGATGAGGAAGATAAAAATGAGAACACCTAAGGGCTCCTTCCCAAGGCTTCGTTTACAAGATGCTCCATCACTGCATGAAGGCTTCCTCTTGGATCATGCCCTTCATCTAGAGAAAGTCAAGAGAGCATTGGAAAGACAGCAGAGCAAGGAGCACTGAGATTCATCCCCAGGCTACCTTGCTGAACACTTGGGGACCTGATTCCCAGAGTTCACTTTTTACTGAGTAAATAATTTTGAGTTCTGTTATCATCTCTTCATTTTACTAAAAGCACATGTGATGGGCGAGGACAGATGACCTCCCTTAGGACCAAAGTGGAGACACTTTGACCACACAATGTCAGTGCTAAATCAAGGCTACAGAAAAAAGCCTCCAAGTTTACTAAGATGCATGCACCAGAATTACCAACTGGCACTGTAAGTAATGCTGAAAAAGCAATGAAAAGACTAACATCTATCAATAATAGCTTATGGCCTACTGGAATTCAATTGTTCAATATACAGATTTAGTGGGAATAAGGTAGCTGAACCTATACTGGGAGAAAACTAGGCTGGTGCTAATAATAAACAAGAGAAGTTTCAAAACAGTATGCACAGTAGGAAAACTGGGTTTTATAATACCATTCAATGTATTAGCATAAATTTAAGTATTTTTTATCCTCACCCAAGGACATTTTTGCATTTATCTTCAGATAGAGCGGGAGGGAGAGAGGAAGGAAGAGAGAGAGAGAAACATCAATGTGAGAGACACACATTGAGTGGTCGCCACCCACATGACCCCAACTGGGGCTGGGGACAAACTGCAGCCGAGGTACATTCCCTTAGCGGCAAATGAACCTGGGAGTCTCTGGTCCACGGACCAACACTCTAACCGCTGAGCCAAACTGGCTAGGGCGAAGGTATTTTTCACATGTGAACTTTTTTTAGAAAAATAAATAGATCTAAAATAATTACCTGTGGGTTCCCACCATTCAACCCTCCCAACTTTGTTCTTTCCCCATGCACACCCAGCACTCACTTCTGAGACCACTAGAGGTTCATCTGAGACAGGTTGAATGAAACCCGCACCATTTCCTGCTGCTCCTGAGAGACCACGGGCCCAGTGCTGGTGGAGGGTGTGGGCACTTGGGTTGAAAACGCACTCTGAGTCTCAATGGGTGTGGCATCCCTCACAAACAGCTCGTCATTCACGATGAATATACTGGAGAAAAATTAGCCCTCAAACAAGTGATGGATAAAGAACCCTACACCGTCAACAATGATCCTACTTCCACCACCAATCATCAACCAGATTCCTCCCATATACCACGTGTACTTGCCCACCCCTCCCCCGCCCGCCCAGATTCCTTGCCTGGTGGCTCTGCCCCTCTCACAGACCCCAACCCCAGAAAGAATCCAGCTTCACTAGATTTCTACCTCTGACTCCATTGCATATACTCTGTTAAACCCAGGGAGAACACAGTCTAATCCCATTTTAAGGACGACATAGTATCCTGGAGATCATGTAATTTCAATCAGGTATTAACTAGTGAATGCTGGTGTCAAAAAAGGACCTAAAAGGAACCTGGAACACTTTCAGTATTCTGAGGACACACACTGTCACATTCTCACAGCCCTCAGTCCAGGCGGGACTGCATGTTCCCTCCAGGTGCACATCACTCACCTGGAATTGCTGCCAGGAGTGGCAATGAAGGTCCGGGTGAAGGCACGAAAAGCACCCTGAGACATTCCTTCCCCTTAAACAACAAACAATAACCCCTTGGAGTCCCACATGCTTCACACACTCACACAGCTTTCCCCAGTCAGGGTTGGTGTTAATATTCATGCCAAGGGGACAGGTGTTCACTGGTGGTGAGGGTGTTGGGCATGGGTAGGGAAAAATAAGAGCAATCTGCTCTCGCTGACATGGACCCTACTATGTGCCAGGCCCAGAGACAACTACTCATTTCATTTTATTCATTATTTGCAGCCACCCAAAAGATGGCTATTATTAGTCTCATTTTACAAATGAGAAAAATGAGAGTTGAGATAATGGGCCCAAGTTTGCATAGTCAGGATCTGGGATTACAGCCATCAAATCCCACACCTATTTCCCCCAAAGTCCCAGCTATGTGGGGCTGACAGGCATGAATGCAGGTCTGACCAGGAGGGTTTGGAGGAAGACTGGAGGCAGGAGAACACAAAGTGAATAGTAAGAAAAAGGAAGGGATCAGGGAAGCTGAGAGTGTTCTGAGAGGGAGCCCAGCCAGGGAGAGGAGATGTGGGGCATGTGGGAAGGGGACTCTACACACACTCACCTTCCCTGAACACCCCATTGACACAGAAGAAGAACAGGCTTTCCTGAAAGGGAAGAGCAAAGGTGCTGAGTTACCAACCACACCTCCCATGCACCTGTTGCTTTAAGGTCTACCTGGAGGAAGAAGTGGTTGCTCACCGAATGGAACAACATGTCCACCAGGAAGGAGTTGAGGTCATGCTGAGTTTGGGGAAACACACAGAGGGAGCTCACAATGTCATATTTCGTACATTTCAGCAGATTAAAACGCAGGTCTGTGGGGAAAGAATGGCAAAGGTCGGGGTTGCTTCTCCCTGAGCCCTATGACTGACCCCTTCACACCCCCATTTCTGGCCCAATATTCCTCATCCCACACGCACTGGGGTCCTTGAGGTTCTTCATATTCCTGTTATCTCTGAAGTACTCATACAAGCTGCTTCTAGGAGAAAAGAAAAGAAAAGAAAAGGATGTGGAAGACTGGCCAGTGTGGGTGTTTCCACGAGGTGGCCGGTTTCTGCTGGGGAGACACACAACCCAGAATCAGAGTCTGAACTGTGATACTCACGGGTCTGGGTCATTTTGCATGAAAGGAAGGGTCAGGGAGAAGCAGGCTTCATCATGATAAGCACCAAGGAGACTCTGTCTGTCTCCAGAGTCATAGATCAAGTAGTATCTGTGAGAGGACAATAAAGACTGTCTCTATAGACTGTACCTCAAAGGGGACTTGAAAAGTCTCAGGAGCAGACATGTGCTTGGTTGGTCCAGACTGTCCCTGGCCCCTCCCCCTCCATTCCTCATGGTCCCTGGAGTACTTACTGCTGCAGAAATTGCAGGATTCGAGTCTTCAGAACATCAGATCCTTTACAACTTTCCTGGAATCAAAGACATTTGAGACCATGTGGCTGATGAAGCCTCCCCTACATTAGCCCAAATGCTGATCTTTCTTCCTCACCTTTAAGGGCTTGCTTATGTAGGATCTGTCAATGTCAACAGTAGTTGGTGGGGGTAAATCCTGGCCATCCTGGAGAAGGGAAGAAAAGTTAGCCATGCAGACCAGGGAGGTGGTTCTGGATGACTAGGGGAAAGGATGGGCCCAGGAGACAGTGAAGGTCAGAGCTGAGGAGTGAAAGGCCCCAGGAAATTCCATGGGGAAGATTCCACTGGGTGCATCATGAGGGTTAGGGTCCTGCAAGTCTCTACTGTGTTATACACAGTGTGTGTATGTGTGTGTGTTCACATGCATGTGCACGCACGCATGTGTTTCTCTCTCTCTCTCTCTCCTTTCCTCCCACGCTCTCTTCCCTGTCTCTCTTTCTGCCTGTCTCTCTCTGTGTACATTTTTCCAGAGATTATTCATATTCAAATCTTTTCCAGAAGTCCATGTTCCCCAAAATGGATAAGGGTCTAATGCACACATGTAATCTAGGCAAGACACAAAGGGCTGAGGGCAAGTATGGAAGTTGTCAAGTTAATAAGAGGTGATAATGAATGCAGGCACTTACCAAGCGTAACAACTTGGGGAAACATTTCCTGATGGCTCTGTCCGAATTCAAAAACAGAAAGAAGTGGTTGACAGTATGGGTTGCAATGCTCACACTTACTTAAAACACTGATGGCCTGAACAGAGATAGTGTTATGCCCACCCAGGAGCCCCTTTGGCCCCCTCAGTTTCTGATTTTAAGGCTTCTGGGTCCACTTCCCTGCTGAGCACTGACCATCTGCCATATGGGATCTCTGAAATGCAATGTGCTCATAGCCCTCCACATTCATATTCCCTCCCTTCCTCCCTCCCTCCCTCCCTCTCCTCCCTCCCTCTCCTCCCTCCTGGTTAGCTCCCGCCTAGAGGGCCTTGATTCGTTCTCCAGTGCCATAAGACACAGCATTTGCATCCCAGACTCCAGGGCTGCTTCTTCCTCGCTGCCTCCCTTCCTCCCTCCAGGCCTCCATTGATGGTTCCAAGGGGAAGAGAGAATGGGGTAGGGGCCCAGGGCTATGACACCTCACTGGGGGTCCAGTGTCCTGCTAGGAAAAGGACATGTCTCAGGAATGGACCAGGAGGCTGGGTCAGGGAGGTGAGGGAGGGGGGTATTAGGAGGCACAGAGGGTAAGGGAGGAAGATGAAAACAGAAAGAGAGTGAAGATAGGAGTGGAGATTGTGAAGACATAGAAGAGTAGAGACTAAGGAGAAACAGGAAGAAAAGGGAAGGGAAATAAGTTCTTCCCTGGCTGTGAGGGTGAGATCAGTAAAAGGAGAGAAGAAAGGGGATATGGTAGCCGTTTCCATCATCTACCCCTGGCTGGCCTGGGACCCGAGGTAGGAATCAAAAACATGGACCTGTTGGCCTCAGGGCCATGGGATTCTGGTTGTGCCTTTGTCACCTGTGGGAGCTCAATCTGAACTGGGCCTGGGGAACACAACAGCCACGGGATCAGGGGACCTTCCTCAGAAGGACTAAGCATCATGCCCCAGCTGAGCTTGGTGTTGGGGGTCTGTGGCCCCCTCTTAGGATCACCACCTTCTCTCCTCATAGCCCCTGTGCACTACTGCCTGCCTTAGTTGGTTCCTTTCCAGAGGAATCCTACCTGTTTTAGGCTACCCAGGGCTCCTCTGAAGGACCTGGCAGGTGATGTGATGTGTGGAGGGAGGGGCAGTGCACCTGAAAGGACTGTCCTTCTATCTCCCAACCCTCTCTGCCCTCAGCTTTCCATTGTTGCCTCGAGAGGCCCTCTGCTCACTGGCAGTGGCTCACTTCTGGCCCTGACTCAGAGAACCCTGGATTCTAGCAAGGATGGCACATCCCTGGTATTGCACCAAAGAAACGGATATCATAATGACAGCCAGCTGGGGCCTGGGGCATTGGCATGGGTTGGGAAAGTCTTCATGCCAACTTGAGATTTGAGAGTAAACCCTTTAGAAGCAAGGGAAAGAAGGTTCCTCCTAGATCTTAGGGATAGTCTATCATCTCAGTAGAAGAAAGGGCTATCTCAGTATGAGTAGTGGTAGAGGACATTTCTCAGCCCAGATCAGCAGTTATCTGCCCCGAGGCTCAACCCTACTAGTCCTAGTGATGGGGAGGGGGAACCCTGCATTCTGAAGCACATTCTTGGGTGGAAATGACAGAGAAAACCAGATGCAGAGTCAGGAACAAGACCCCAGATCACGACAACAGATGAGCAGGTCAGAGGAAGGATAGAGACCTCTAAGAACAGGTGAGGGACAGAGAAGAGAAGGTGGGGCCTGTGATCCTCCCAGAGAACCAGGGCTGCCACCTGCTGTGGTGGGGCACTGTCAGGGGTAGTTCTGGCTCCCAGGAGTCAAAGGTCCCCAGGAAGGGTGAGAGGGGTTCACACTGACCTGATGTACGTAGATTGGTCTGGGAAGGTGCAGCACAAGGGGTTATCTTTCAGCCACAGCTCTTCGAGCTTCAGGCCTTTGATCTTGCCCAACTCCCAAGAGGATTTCAGCTGAGAAATATGGGGGAAAAATGAAAAATAGTCCAGGGTGCAGAGAGACATCCAAGGCCCTGCACCCACAGTACCCCCCCAAGTATATTTGCTTGCCTGCCATGATCACTTTATAATCACCACCATTCACTCTCAACTCAAGTTTGATCTATCCCTCTTCTCACCTCATTTTTGGAGAGGTTCAGGATCTTGACTGTGGGGGCCATCTGTATAATATCAGACAGGCCATCTAGCTGGTACAGTCTGTTGTTGTGCAAATTCAAGGACAACAGCTTCAGGGAAGAAAAGTTAGAGTAATGATTACGATCTAGGACCTCAGAGACAAATCTGCCTTCCATCCCATCTGTTCCACCCCTACCATAACATCAGCACTGGGTCTAAGGCCTCACCTCAGGGAAATTCTTTTCGATGATCTGCAGGGTGGCTGTCATGCAGTTTCTCCGATTCAGGATTATTTCAATATCAAGGTGTGCAAAGCCTTCAAGGAGGCAAGAATAGGCAATCATCAGGCTGCCAGGGGTCCAACAGTAGCACCAACCCCTCCATCATTACCACCCCTAATCTACTTCCCAGGCCGAACCCTCTGTCTTCTCCTTGACCTAGAAATACTAGTGTTGGTTGTACCTGGGTCAAAGCGAAGCTTATGAAGGTCAAGAGCTTTGTGGGACACATCATATCGTTTGTCCATGGCCAGCTACACAGGGAAATGAAGAGAGAGCCCTGAGGCTGTGGTGGTGACTGGGAGGTTGGGGCTGGAGGAGGAACAGGTGGGTCCGAGAGTGGGCACATATGTGCCTTGAGTCTGCATTACCTTTAGCTGCTCCATTTCTTCTGGCTTCAGTTTATCCTGCACAGAGTAGGGTACAGCAGAAGTACTGGTAAAGATAACTATCTGCATGAAGAAGAGGTGGGGTAAGTACCAGCAACTGTAGCCTTATAGGAAGTGACCAGTCCTGCCTGTCCTGCCCCAGGACTGAGTAGAGATAATGACCTCGACACACACCTTTTGGTTCTCCTCATCACAAATCTTGTAGCTGACATTCTTCAAGGCAGAGGCAGCACTAGTGTCCTGAACAAAGAATCTGGCCCTGTTTTGCACATAGTGAAACTACAGGGATTGAAGCAACAGCAATAGTGTCAGAGGTCAATGTCCCCAGCTGAGCCATGACTCTCCCCCTTCCCTGTGCCCCCTCATGTGGCTTCACCATCCTCCCTTACATCCACTGGAGTGAAGGGGACACTGCAATGGCTCTGGATGGTATCCATTAGCCATGTCTTGTCATACTTTCTTCCATAGGGAATCTAAGGGTCAAAAAAAGAAATGAGGAGAGGAGAAACAACGTGAAACTAAGCATGCAAAACAGATCCAACACAGTGTTCTGTTCCTACGTTCTACTGAGCTCTGAAGGGTTTCTAAACAAGGGACCACTATGCGTAATCAGTGGTCATAGACAACAATGCTGGGGATAGGGCTGACGGGGGGGATTGGGAGGAGGGTGTCAATGGAGGAAAAAGGAGAAACATTTGTAACAAAAATAAATTAATGAAAACAACCAACCAACCAAACAAAAAACTGCCAGGAACCACTGGCATGATTTCTCATGTTTGTGCCAAATAAGGAGTTCTTAAATCCATTCTCTCTCCATTCAGAGCTCTCTTCCTCATAATCAACTTAAGGTGTTAGACATTTTCTTCCTTGTACAAAGTTCCAGGAGATTCTGTATGAGACACTGCTTGCCCATCCGAGTTGTTTTCCAGAGATTTGATCCCCCATCTCACACACTCAGCTTGAGCCAAACTGAGATATCCAGTGTGGCCTTGCTCTCTATTTCCCTGGCAATAGTTCCACCTTTCACTTTAGACAGCTTCCTCTACTTTCCATACAATCAGCCTGATTCCTTATACTGCTTCTCTGAATTTTCCCTTAGATGAGTAAGTAATAACAAGGACAGACTGTACACAGTCCCCAGCAAAATGTCTGTGTATCTACATGAGACCAACACAGTCCACCTGACCTTTCTCTCCTCCACACTCCATACATTTTTTTCAGGACACTCACTGTGATCTTGAACCAACTCCCCAGGGTTCGATCTTGGGTGTTCTCCCCCTTTTCTCTCCTGAGATGTTTTCTGTCACTGCACAGAGTAACATGGAGATGTCCTTTGTTATACCATTGCACTCTCCTCTTGTCATGTCCCTTGGTATAGGGAGTGCTGCAGGAGGAAGCAGAGAAAAAAGGGGTGGCCATAAATGCTAAGAAAGTCTTCTATACACCCTTGTGTCTCTGACACCAGGACTACATTTAAGATTGCTCAATCATGATTTCACTTCTAGCATTCTTCAGTTTTCCAGTGAGAGAAGAAAAAGAAAACCATGGAGAGTGAAGAGAGTTTTATGGGCAGTCCCATGGGCTGCTACATGCAAACCAGGCTGCCTAGTCACTTACTGTCTTACTTGGTACTTCTGGACTCCCCTCATCTCCCCATTTCCATCATCCTTATGGGGGTGTGAAGACTGAGGCTCATATCCACCATGCTGATAACGACGGGTCCTCTTGCCAAAATTACCTCGGAAAGAACTCCAATCTTTTTTCTTTCCTTGAGTTGAGCTACATTCATCATTGTCTTCTGAAACAGGGAACAAAAATACAAGTTTCAATCACGTCTCTCCCCACTTTCCATGTAGTACGTCTTAGGCTAACACCATGAAAGGGCAACAAAGTGCTTCCTTTGCCAGTGTATTACAAGCTGTATGTCAAGTGGAAAAGAGGTAACAGCTTCCTAAACTGTCCTCCTCTCTCCTGCTTTGCCAGCAACAATAGTCTACTTGAAATTATCCAGAGTGAGCTTTCTCTTGCCCAGTCTGAAATGCCTTTGAGTTTAAGAAACAGCTCTTTCTAACCTCAGCTCTTATGTAACAAGGGTCTAAATGACAAAAAGGAATGTTTCAGAAACAATTTCCAAATCTCTGGGTATTTTTCTTTTCTCTTTCAATGATCAATTTCCAGCTTGATCCCTCTATGGTAAGAGAACATACTCTATGCGATTTCAATTATTTTATTTATTTTTAAACTCATCTTTATTCTGGAATGTATTACAGATGCCCCCCCTTTTTCTCCATTGAATCCCTCCTCCCCAATCCCACCCACCTCCTGCCTTCCCCACACTATTATCTGTGTCCATTTGTTATGCATATATGCATAGAAATTCTTTGGTTTATCTCATCCTGCCCTCCCTCCCCCCTTCCCTTTGAGGTTCATCAGTCTAACAACCAATTTGTACTTCTTAATTCCTTCACCTTTTTCACCTAGCTCACCAGCCCCTGACCATCTGGCAAGCAACAAAGAGTTCTCTGTATCTATGAGTCTGTTTCTGTTCTGCTTACTCATTTTATTTGTAGCTTCAATTGTTCATAGATATGTATTAATTGCCATTTTATTCTTCATATTTTTGTTCTTCTTCTCCTTCATGAAGACCCTTCAACATTTCATATAATACTGGCTTGGCGGTGATGAGCTCCTTTAGTTTTTTCTTGTCTGGGAGACTCTTGATATGTCCATCAATTTTAAATGATAGCTTTGTAGGATAGAGTAATCTTGTTGTAGGTCATTGCTTTTCATCACCTTGCATATCTCTTGCCACTCCTTTCTGGCCCGCAAAGTTTCTTTTGAGAAATCATCTGACAGTCTTATGGGAGCTCCTTTGTAGGTAACATACTGCTTTTCTCTTGCTACTTTTTTAAGATTCTCTCTGTATTGAACCTTTGGTATTTTGATGATGAAGTGTCTTGGTGTGGACCTCTTTGGGTTTATCTTGTTTGGGACTCTGTTTCTTGGATTTGTATGTCTGTTTCCTTCTCCAAGTTAGGGAAGTTTTCTGTCATTGTTTCAAATAGGTTTTCAATTTCTTCTCTCTCTTCTCCTTCTGGCACCCCTATGATGCGAATGTTGGCAAGTGAAGTTGTCCCAGAGGCTCTTTAAATTATCCTCATTTTTTTGGATCCTTTTTTCTTTTTGCTGTTCTGACTGGGTGTTTTTTGCTTCCTTATATTCCAAATTTATGGTGTGCTTCTTGGCTTTGCCTACTCTACTATTGATTCCCTGAAAATTATTCTTTATTTCAGTTAGTCCATCCTTCATTTCTGACTGGTCCTTTTTTATGTTGTTGATGTTCTCACTAAGTTTCTTGAATGTCTCACCAAGTTCCTTGAGCAACCTTATAACCTGTGTTTTGAACTCTGCATCTGATAGATTGCTTATCTCCATTTTGTTTAATTTTTTTCCTGGAGTTTTGTTCTTTTCTTTCATTTGGGACATGTTTCTTTGTCTCCTCATTTTAGATGCTTCCCTGTGACTGTTTTTCTATGTATCAGGTAGAGCTTCTATGTCTCCTAGGCTTCGTAGGGTGACCTATTATTATAGGTGTCCTGTAGGATCCAGTGGCACAGCCTCCCCGATCACCCCAGCTGGGCCCTTGAGGTGCACCCCTAAGGTGGACTGTACACCCTTCTGTTGTAATTTAGTCTTGATTGCTGTTGGCACATCAGTGGGAGGGATTTACTCAGGTTGATCAGATGCAAGAACTGGCTATGCTCACTGACCACTGGCCTCTGACTACTTTGAAGGATCAGCTGTGTAGGGGCCCACCACACAGAGCAAGGCTTACTTCATCAGGGCTCTGTTACTCACTGAGTCTGATCACTGAGTGTGTCACTTGTGGAGGTGGTTGGGTGGTAGTGTTTCATTGTGGTCTCAAGCTGTCCACTGGGTGTGCTGGCTCTGGGCCAAGGTCAGTCACTGCCTGTGTTCCATCTAGGGCCACCAGGCATAAGCTACAAAGTGATCTGCAGATGGCTGCTTCTTGTGCTGCGCTTGGAGGTACCCAGGAAAAGCCACGTTGTGAACCAAATCTGGTTGCTTCTAGTGCCAGGCATGGGGTCACTTAACGAGAAGTATGGGGCTCACTGAGACCAGATGCTGTTTGTTTGAGAGATTTTAGAAAACTCTGAGGTAGGATCCATGACAGGCCAATCCTGTAACTCAGAGCCTTTGAAAACTACCTTGTGTGGCAGTGGAAGTGAAACTGAACATGGCTAGAGCATCTGACCCAGAAATATCACTCACTCAGTCCCCAAAACTTGGAGGACCCCTAGAGTGCTCTCTTTCTCTCACACTCCACATCCTGGTGATCAGGAAATACTCTAGACCCCTCTCCCAAAGTCTATCCAGATCTAGCCACTTTTCACCACCTCCATTTTTTCTGCTCTGTCCAAAACTGATGGTGAGGAGGCAAGGATGAAAACATAGGAACTAGTTGGAAGGTGGCATAATCCAGGACATACATGTTGGTGCCTTGGCCAGAGCATAGGTCCAACCAATTCATTCTGTTCAAAACCACTTAACAACACTTAGAAGCCCATCAACATGGTAAATAGCCATAACTTCATAATGCTGGTAAACAACAATAACTACAACAAAGAGCGACCTTATGGTAACCTTTGGTGAATGCTAGGAAATCAACTCATTTTCATGAAAATCCACCAGTTAAAGGAAAATAAATTAAATATTAAAGAGAGGAGTAATGGCAGGACGTCAGCATATGGTGTGGGAAGAGCCTGAGCCATTTTCAGTAACTGACATTAGTTCACAAATAGCATTGCTGAGGGAAAAGTGTAAAAGTGAGCCAGCTAACAGCTTCAATGATGCCCAGCCCAAACCAACTACAGTGATACCTCGGTTCTCGAACGCCTCGGTTTTCGACCAAATCGGTATTCGACCAGGAGATTCGAGAAACTTTTGTCTCGGAATCCGAACAAATATTTGGAACTCGAACTTCCGAGATGAGCCGAGTTGAGCCGAATGGCGTTCATTCGGCCCAGCGCGCCTTGCTTGCGTCATCAGTGTGAGTGCAGAGAGAGAGTCACGCTTTGTGGAGTCACGCTTTCCTATTGGGTTTCATTGCTTCGGTTCTCGAACAATTCGGTTCTCGACCGTCCTCCTGGAACGAATTATGTTCGAGAACCGAGGTATCACTGTAATTAATTCCAGTGCCTAAAGAGGGGCAGAGCTCTTCCTCATCCAGGTGACTGTGACAAGGGTGACTGCAGGCATCGATTGGCTTGGGAATCTCTCAAATGAGTGAGAATGTGATATATGCCACAGAGGGATACCCCCGGAAACACACACTCATATCTGCTTACTGAACTTTTGCATCTTAGCACCATCCTTGTCTCACCATCTTGCTGCAAGAATCAAAAGTGATAACTAGCAAATTATAAATTAGCTAGTGCCTTTCACTGTGGACGATTCAGCCAAATTTATTCCCTTCCAAACTATGGGAAAAGTACCTTCAAAAATGCCTATGACTTAATAAGCCACAAAAATAACTCAGTTATTACTAGATCAGGTACTTAGCACAATGTCTTGTGTTTAGTAAAGGAAGTACATGTTTTATTTGGATTAATTGTTAAAATTCCCTGGAAAATGAGAAACACAAAGATGGGTGTATGGAATAAAGTTCTGATACCAGCTGCGAACATTTGACATGAATCAATACAATTTATTAGAAAAGAAAATCATCCAAACAAGGAATAGATGGAAACATCACTAATCAACAGATAAATACAAATAAAGATTACACTGTGATATAAACTAACACCAAATTAGGACAGCTACTATAACCAGCAAATTAAAAAAAAAAAAAAGTATCAGCAAGGGAGTGAAGAAATTGGAACACTTGTGCACTGTTGATGGGCACGAAAATAGTGCGGCCTCTACAGAGATTGACAGCAATACAATCACAGTGGGAGACTTCAACATCTCACTGACATCACTGGATAGATCCTCAGGACAAAAAAATTAACAAGGAAATTGAGATCCTAAATGACGCACTAGATCAGATGGATTTAATTGATATTTACAAAGAATTACACCCCAAGACTGCAGAATATACATTCTTCTCAAGTGCACACAGGACATTTTCAAAGACAGACTATACTTAGAACAAAAACTAAGTCTCTACAAGTTCAAGAAGACTGAAATCATATCAAGCATCTTCTCAGATAACAATGGCATGAAACTAGAAATTAATTACAATAAAAACACTAAAAAATATTCAAACACATGAAGGTTAAACAGCATGTTATTAAACAATCAATGTGTTACCAAGCAGATAAGGAAGAAATAAAAAAAACTTCCTGGAAATCAAAGAAAATAGACACACAGGAACACAAAACCTATGGGACAGTAAAAGCAGTCCTGGGAGGAAAGTTCATAGCATTACAGGCTTGCCTCAAGAAACAAGAAAAATTTCCAATAGACTATCTAACCCTACAACTTAAAGAACTAGAAAATGCACAAAACAAAAAAACCCGAGTAAGTAGAAGGAAAAATGAAGTAAAGGTCAGAGTGGAGAAAATGACAAAGACTAAAAAAAACAATACCAAAGATAAATAAAACCAAGAGCTGGTTCTATGAAAAGATAAACATGATTGACGAACCTTAAGCCAGACTCATGAAGAAACAAAGTGATAAATAAAATCAGAAATGAAAGGAGAAGTGACAACTGACACCACAGAAATACAAAGGTTTGTTAGAAAATACTATC